TATTGTCATCTGACATCATCCCCTGGGTGGCTAAAGGACACAAATAAATCCCACTTAAAAATTAAATAAAAGAGGGCGCCTGGGTGGATCAGTCGTTAAGCGTCTGCCTTCGGGGTCCTGGGATCGAGCCCCGCATCGGGCTCCCTGCTCGGCGGGAAGCCTGCTTCTCCCTCTCCCACTCCCCCTGCTTGTGTTCCCTCTCTCGCGGTGTCTCTGTCAAATAAATAAATAAAATCTTTAAAAATAATAATAATAAATAAAAAAATTAAAATTAAAATTAAAATTAAATAAAAGAAAGAGGAGAGAGAGAATTTATTTTTGAGATTTTAAAAAATGTTTTAGTGTACAATTCATTTTTTAAAATTTCTTAAACACTCTTCACTTCTTGATCTATAATGATGCCTTTAATTTGCCTTTCCTGCCACATATTCCAAATTCAGAGTAAACAATTACTGAAAAACATAGTGAGGTTCAGATTAAAAGTCCACAAACAATGGCAAAATTTATTATCTTAATGAAATTTGGAAATAAGCACCAACCCAGATGCCAAGGAGCATAAGGTTAAATCTAATGAAGACCTGAGGAAAATCAGACAGTAGCTCATAGGAAATGCAAAACTACCTTGCCTCTCTTCTATTATCCTTGCTTAATCTTCCTCAGATTTAGGTCCCTAGGGTAATTTCAAGTCTGTATTCTAAAGTTAATTGCTCTTTATTTTTTTAGATTTAAGGATTGGAGGGTAGTAAGAAAAACAGAACATTAAAAATGTGTAGAAAGTATTCAAATTATCCACATTCATAGGTTATTTTCATGCACACTTAATGGTTTTAGTAAAACCACACTGAAACGACTAGGGTAATCTATTGAATTCAATTTTACTTCCAGAGCCATTATCCACTACAGAGATAACATCAGAGTTATAGTGTGTGCTTCATTTTATGGAATGTTCTAAATTAATGCTTAATTTTATCCAGGTTAATAATGCAAAGCTAGTGAAAGTCTTGGAGAGTGTAATGTACACTGTATATACTAACATTTCAATTCAATGAATAAATAATTTAATTGCACAATGATACACAATAATGTCATAGAGCAAGTTTAGTAGCTTGAATTTGCTGACCCAAAATCATGAACATCAATTTCTACATTTCTGAATATTCCCCCCAAAAAATAATTCAAATTAAGATTATCACTAAATTATTTGAAAAAAATTAATTTAGAAATAGTGTGTGAGGCAAGTTAGATAAGATCACTTATTGTAGTGTATTAGTAGAATGTAAACAAGTCTAGATCAGAGTCAAGTACTGAGTTCTAACGCTTTGGGTAAATAGTTTAAGTGCCCTAAAGACTCATCTTCCTCTTAGAAATAAAGATTTGGAATACATGATTTTTAAGGTCCTTTCTAGTATTAAAACTGTGTAGATATTAAAGGAAAATTCCCATGCCCCACCTATCAGATTGCAAAACTCCTGCCAAGTGTGGAGGAAATTTCAGCTCTCACATGTTACTTATAAAAATATAAATTTGTAAGAGCATGTTGGAGAGGAATTTCTTAATACCTAGTACAAATATTATGTGTATATTATATATTTAAATGTATAATATTTTATGTGTACATAATTATTGTATATATGCATAAATGTATTATATAATTTAGACAGTGTTAGACTAAATAAACCAATTTATTTATTAAAACCAATTCTTCTGGAAGAGTAGAATTTACTGTATTAACAATGAGAATAAACTTCTCATAATTTAAAAGCATTTTCCCAGGAGCGCCTGGGTGGCTCAGTCAGTTAAGCATCTGCCTTCAGCTCAGGTCATGATCCCAGGGTCCTGGGATCGAGCCTCATGTTGGGCTCCCTGCTCAGCAGGAAGCCTGCTTCTCCCTCTCCCATTCCCCCTGCTTGTGTTCCCTCTCTTGCTGTGTCTCTCTCTCTGTCAAATAAATAAATAAAATCTTTAAAAAAAAAAAAGCATTTTCATAGTTATCTACCACTCTGTGACATGTAAACATAAACACTAGAACATGTAGAGTTCCTAGCAAACTCGGCTCTCTATAAAGAAAGACAGCAACTTTGGGGGGTCGGGAGGACAGACCTTAAAACTATCTAACCAGTTAAGTATCATTCATTATTTTCTTTATTTTTAGTCTTATCTTTTATCTTTAAAGATAGGTGTTTCTCAATCTTTTCTTCAAAGTATGAATATCTTAGCTAATTTTCCACCAGCACACATCAATTCAGCTCAACCTGCCACTGAACACCTGGATTCTGATCTCACAGGCCAGCCCACATGACAGGGTCTGTTTTGATTGGCCAGTGCCTGAACCCTACTGGCTGTTAAGTATTTAAATATTTTGAATATCATCCATTCTTAATCAATATTGGTATAATTAACTTTTTATTATCTTGGGGTGGAAAATTAACTTATGGGTAAGTAAAGTTAAAAATAAAGAAAATAATAAACCATGCCAGTAAATAAAAATTTCTACAAGGCTGTGAAAACACCCACACATTTAAAGGAATTCACTTGGGGTGCCAAATAAGTAAAGCATAGACATCACATATGGGAATGACTCTCCCCTTGCCAAAGACCAGTGGATTGAAGGGACACCCTCCCCTCCTCCTCTGCAAACCACAAAGCATTCCCCTCTTCTTAGAAAAAGAAAGGAGGGGCTCATGAGACGTGAAGCCCTTTAGGGAGGAGGAGAAGGGAAAAGTGGGTTGTAGATGAAGTGGAAAAATACAGTTTGGAACAAATAACTATCTTTGTTGCTGCTATTAACTCTTTCTCTCAGAAATATAAACTTTTTACTCAAAAATTCAAATTTACATATAAGTTGCAAAAAATAAAAAAAAATGACAAAATGAAATTATATAACTTTACCTTAATTCACCTATGATTAATACTTTCCCCCATTCACTTTTTCATTCTCTATCTACCTATCTATACATGCCTATATATTATGCTATGTGTGTTTGCATGCATGTGTACATACATGAACAATTTTTTCCGTGCCATTTAAGAGTGATTTCCATATATCATTGTCTTTTGCTCCTAAGTATTTCAATGTGTATTTCCTAAAATAAGGATATTCTCTAACAGCCACATTGAGAAACTGTATTTATTGTTTTCAATTTAAATTATATTTAACACTCATGTAATTCTTTGTGTGTATTAGGCATCCCTTGAAACTTGGTTTCATCAACTATTGACTGTATAATCTTGTACAAATGACAACTCTCTGTGCCTCAGTTTGCTCATATGTAAAATCAGGATAATAATAGTATAGGTACTATTTTGGCTTTGAGTGGTGCCTAAAGAGGAGTATTATATAAATGTTGCTAAATACAATTTAAATTTTAAGAATAAATACAGTTTTTATTGCGCTTGCAATTAATTGTTATTTGGAGTTGTCCATGATCTCCTTCACCTGATTATCAAATTACAAAGCTACTCTCTACTCTCAAACTCCATCTCAGAAAGCATTACTGGAGAAAATATCCAAAATCCAGTGTTCCAGGGCTCTTCCCACTCACTATGCTTCTGCTTGTAAATTGTAAGTTTCTTTATACTCTCTTCTGGCATTCACCTCCATGTTTTTATAATGGCATGCAATGAATCACATTTTCCCTTTTTAAGTAACTTTGGCACAAAACTATTTAAATTTGCTAAATATGGGGACGCCTGGGTGGCTCAGTCGGTTACGCATCTGCCTTCAGCTCAGGTCATGATCCCAGGGTCCTGGGATCGAGCCCAGCATGGGCCTCCTGCTCAGCAGGGAGCCTGCTTCTCCCTCTCCCTCTGCCACTCCCCCTGCTTGTGCCCTCTCTCTCTCTCTCTCAAATAAATAAAATCTTTAAAACAATTTTAAAAGTTTGCTAAATATGTATGTCATTACAGAGCTTGAAACAGTAAAGGCAGCAAGATATGAGGATTAAAGAAGTCATCCTACAACTTTGTTTTGACCTTTAATTTCTATCAAAATATCATTTATCTCATTCAATATTTTAATCAATGTTTCTGTTATTATTATTAGTTTATATGATCTAAAAACCCTATTAATTAGCAAATGTCTTGAGGAGAAGGAGGGTGCCTTATTTATTGTTAAACCTAATAGGAGCACCTTTGAACAACATCCTGTCATACAAAGATAAGAAAGGGATAGACAGTCTGATGAATGAACCCAGGCTACGAGTGACTTCAAATAAAGGGACAGGCTTGAATTTTTGTAGAATTCGGTAATGCAGGGGAAAAATTGGGAAGTAAGAGATGGAATGAAAAACTCTCATGTTACCTGGCAAAGATTACTGGTGATGCCACTGAGATTGGGAAGACAAGTCAGATATGACCTTGCTTGAAGAGCTTGTGGCTCTTCCAAATGGAAAGTCCAAGAAAGAGTTCTATGTACATGGAGAAGCCAATGATAGCAATATAAATTTAGGAGTCCTCAGCATGGAAGAATAATACAATTCCAGGAAAAATAGAAATGTATCAAACAAGCCAAAAAAAATGTCAGATATATATGAACACAAGCTAATAAAGAAGTAGAATAGTTAGAGAAAGGAAACAAAAAAGAGAGGCAGATTGAAAAGGAAAGTAAGTACAAATGTAAATGCAAAGGCCATTTAGAAGCAAAGTGAGCCAGGGAGACAAGCTAGGGAGCTGTTAGGGCAGAGGTCTCAGTGTTAGGGCCACGGAGGAATAGGTCTGCCCAGAGACTAATGCTCCATTGAAAAAGAAATGCCACACACGAAATGTGTTTGTGTTTTTATAGTTTAGAATGTCTGCAAAACATTTCTCATTACATTAATTTCCAGTGGAAAAAGTAATATACCTTTCAAAACACCAGATTTGTAAGTGCCCAGGAAAGTCTAATTTTTGCCATCCCCATCATGTCCTGTAATAAAAGATGAAAAAGAGGCCTTTACAAGATGTTTAGAAATAGAATAAGCAGTGAGGAGAAAATTTCCTTTTCCTTTTAAACAAATTTGAAAATGGGCATGCTTCCAACTAATAAAAGAATGTTTACTTCCAACAGGCCTATCAAGAAGACCATGGTTGCAGCCCTCGACAAGCTGACCAAGCAATCCCTTGTCTCAGGAATACTTCATGTCAGTACACATCACTAATAAGACAATGGTAAACATGCATGCAGATAAGCATACAACACTCAAAAGATAAGACCAAGTATGGGTGTGCACTCCATATCCATTATTATCCCAAGAAGAGCCATTTCTACTTACAAGAAGTAAACTTATCAAAAGCAATCTCATTCATATCTGTAATTCATCCACAAATGGAATTAGAGATGCCATTAAATTTTTTTTTTAAAAAAAGGGACAGGGCTTACTTTTAATTCACACCAAATACATCATAAGTCATCACTGGATCAGTTAGCATTAGCCATGAATTTCGGAAATTAAAAGAGATGACTGAGTAAGCAAAAATGATTGAGAAAGCATGCTTTCTTTATTGCAGGATAACACATTTTCTTAATTAAAAAGCTGATACTCACATGCATTGACCATATTGTAGGAGTGTATGGTGGAGTGTAAAGGACATGGGGTTAGAAAACAAGCCATCCTGTGTCACAGCCTGGTTTTACTCTACTCTGTGTGTAACCCTGAGCTAAGCCCTCTGTGTACAGTGTTTTAATGGTAAGATGAGAAAAACTGACTCATTAATTTTTCTTCTTTAAAAAATATAACCTTTTCAAGGAAATCTTAAATGGAGCCTTAATTACTAAAACAGAGGCTCTGATCTCTTCAGGTTGAGAGGAGGAGCCCCAACTACCAGACTTCCCCTCCCTCTCCTCTGCCCAACCCACCTAGCTGACCTCAAAACCTCCTCCACAGAATGCAAGAGTTCCTCAAAAAGCAATTCTTTCATTTGCTCATTTATTCATGAAATCCTTATGAGCAAATAATTTGTTAATCACAGGGAAAAAGTGAACAAGTAGTGGTAAAAACACTCACCTTGACCTTAGAAATCACTGGGTTAAATGACTTCTGAGTTGTTTTTTTTTTTTTTTTAAGATTTTATTTATTTATTTGAGAGAGAGAGCCCACACATGAGAGGTGGGGGGCAGCAGGGGGTCAGCGGGAGAGGGGTCAGCGGGAGAGGGGGAAGTAGATTCCCAGCTGAGCAGGGAGCCTGATGCTGGACTCGATCCTAGGACTCTGGGATCATGACCTGAACCGACTGAGCCACCCAGGTGGTGCCCCTGGTTTCTGAGTTCTAATTGGCTGTTGACTTCTTGTTGTTACTCAGGCACCAAAGCAGTCAGAGGCCCCGTGTAAGTGTGTGATAGCCCCCCTCTGTGCTTTCTTCTTCAAGGGGGGAAAACTGCTCTGCAGACAAGTAAGCACTGCTTCTATAAACTTTAATTATGAAGCTTATCTCATTACGGCTAATTTCAAGGTATTGTCCAGATAGTTGTAATTGTGTTAAAATTCTCTTGATTAAATTTGTACTTAGAACCAGTGTGCAATTAGCAGTTTCAAGATGAACGTTTTTCTGGGGCGCCTGGGTGGCTCAGTCGTTATGCGTCTGCCTTTGGCTCAGGTCATGATCCCGGGGTCCTGGGATCGAGGCCCAAATTGGGCTCCCTGCTCGGCGGGAAGCCTGCTTCTCCCTCTCCCACTCCCCCTGCTTGTGTTCCCTCTCTCGCTGTGTCTCTCTCTGTCCTACAAATAAATAAATAAAATATTAAAAAAAAAAAAGATGAACATTTTTCCTTAATTGCTCTTTAATATACTTCCAAATTTTGAGAACCTGGTCCCCTCCTTCCATCCCCAGGTAATGAGACTGCTGTTATTGCTCTTGACTTGAGCCTGCCTTTCTGAAATCTCCAAGTTTCCTAAACCTACATCTGTCACACAAAATATATGTGTTCTGGTTCTTGTTCCCTCTCAACCCTATTATCTCTTGGACCACAGTCAAACTAAGCTGACAAACTAATCAGGGCTAATGAACTCATATATTCATATATAACTGTTTCGGGGAGATACGAGAGCATTTTAAAATGAGCTTCAAGAGTCAGATCCAACTCAAAGAGGTGAAATAAAAAGTGAAAATTCCAGAAATCTTGGAAATCCAGTTGCACAGGTATCTTGAGCCGTCAACAACTTTGGAAACTCTCTGAAATTTCATCACATACGCAATCACCATTTCTCCTTAAGTCCCTCACCCGCTTGGAGCTTGATGATGTTTATAATATGAAGATCTTTTTCATTGGTATTTTTTTGTAAGGGAATCTTCCCAGTCCCACAGTAGGCTTTCCTGTTTTTTTGATACTCTACAATACATAGAACCTGAATCTTCATCCTTAAATGGACTTCTGCATATCTAGAATTCTCTCTTATCTTCTCTATGACAACTTACTATTAACTAGGTTTGCCTAATTGCTATTCATATTAAACTAAGAGAGGGATCAATTAAGAAGAGAAGGACATATTACTATTGTCTCTAACCAGTAATAAATCATTTATAGTTAAATCAGACAGGAATTTTAAGTGATCTTCACTATTACATATTCTATAAATTTACAGGATAAAACAAGATCAGCCATACTTGGTCTAATTATTGCAAACCTGTAGACTTTACCAAAAAAGATTCAGAACTACTAGATATTAATCACATGTTTTTAAATTCCTTGATGCCTATATTGTACTAGGATTTCCAGTCTTATCATTGTGCAGCTCTTTGCCATATGCTCACATGTGACCATCTCATTCTCCTACTTAAAACTCATTAACACAAGCTATGAGAACCTTTATAATTTAGACTTTGTCTATTTCTCCAACTATATCATTTCTACACCCTTCTTATGCTTCCTCTGGCTATTGGCTCTTTTGTATCAGATATACTTCCCCTTCTGCTCTGCTTTGTCTCCTCACCTTCTCTCATCACTCATTTCTGTTGTCTAGCTAAGGATGATTCAACTTTGTAGGTCTCAACAGATAGCACTTCCTCAAGGGCTTCTTCCATGCCTTCTCAAGTAGTTTAGATTCCTCTTCTAGTATATTCAACTTCCTCTATCAGCAGTTTCCACAGGCTATTCCAAATGCCTATTTACCTGTCTGTCACCTCTCCTATAGTGTAAATAGGAAGACCACATTTTAATAGGCCACTTTGTATCTCAGCACTGAGTGTCATAACTAGCATGCATTAAGGAATTAAAAACAAATGTTGAATGAGATGACTTACACTCTACTTACCTTTTCCTGAATTTTAGCCATTTCATACATATATGTGTGTATATACATATATATATACACATACACACATATACATAAATATATATACACACATACGTATTTATATACAGTATATATCCATACATGTATACACATGCATATGAAGTCAGTGCATGCATATACATGCCAAAGAGTAATCTGTACCTATATATGTATACATGCACACACAGACACACACACACGCACACACATATATATGCGAACACACACACACAAGAAATGACACCTTCTTACCCTAGGTTTTATAAAAGTTTCAGTTTATTTTGCAGATAGCTCCAGCCTTTGTGTTTCATAGCTTATATTATAACCAAAGCAAAATGAAACTATAAAAGAGTCTTGGTTATATTTTTATAGGGGAAAATTTTTAATTAAAAAACACAACTGGCCTCAAAGAATGGAAATATAATTTTGTTAAAGTTTGTCCCCCATGATGTATTTTAAATTAAAACTCAGTTTGTGTGCATTCATTTAAAAATGTTTAGACCATCCTAAGCTAGAAAAGAGATGGCACAGAAACAACTGAAGGGCAGAGAAGAAAATGAACCAAGGACTGCCCATGGTGCCTTAGTTTGGAGCTCTTCATGAAGAAACTGAAGGAAAAGGCTTTGCCTGCAAAGCAGGCAGAGTGAAGGTTTCCATCATGTTACATCGCTTCCGTATGGAGGTCACTAGATCACAAGAGAGCCAGCTTTGGAAATTACTTATCAGTGCCAAAAGAACACTGTTCCAAAATTAATAATAAATTGCTTTAGTATTTCTCCTTTCTATAAATTTACATTCATGCCATAGGTTTGGACCTATTTTTGAAATACTCCTGCAAAGGAAAGTTACCAACCCCACAAACTGTTTGTGAGAGTATTAGAAGTGCCAATTGAAACAGGAATGCAATAACTTTGTGAAATCACATTATCTGTCAAGTTCTAAAGCTTATTCAGGTGCTTATTTAAACCCTCGGAGCCCGCAGGGAAATGAACATGGGATGAATTTTCATTTAGGTTGCCACAACATTTCAGTAGTGAAACTCCATCGTGGTCTAGCAGACATCAAAAATAAAGTTTCAGCAGTAAAACAAGTGTCAACAAACCTCATGCTTCTGTGCAGAAATAGCAGGTACTAATAAGGTAACATCAGTACATTATAAATAATCCCTGGGACAGTCTCCACTGGGGCCTACGGTACCAAACACGTGCAGCAGAAATAGAGTAAAGGCACCTCCGAGGCCATCCAGAAATGACAAAACACAGTTTATAGCACAGGTTGTCTGAAATATGCCCCTCAGCTCCAGGTGCCAACAGCCACACTTTGGAGGAAATCACCAAGACCTTTCATTATTTGATGGAACAAGCAGACAACAGGAATGTCTCAGTGTCAGAGCTTTTAGTGAAAGAAATTAATATTCATCAACACGTCTTAACTCAGTCGACAGTTTAAAAGTTGGAATGAAGCATGTCATTTAGGCTAGGAGGTCCTTGGTCCAAGTTAAACAAACTAAAGGAGAATGTCTGGTTTTAAGAACACTTGTTCTATACCCTAATAGGACTATGCTTTCAACATTAGAAATACCCAGGTGCTAAATTAATCTTGTTATTTTATTTGAATGACTTAGTCAATGGGTAAATTTATTCAGATTAGAAAAATGTGGTATCAATATCAAGTGGCAAAAATGTATAAATGATCATGCTATTTAGATACTTGTTTGTCCCTCTAGATGTTGGGTTACTTAATTGTATATCCTGTGTCTGGTGAGATATGTGCCTCACATGCAACATGCATTCGCTTCATGTTTGGTGAATAAATAGAGGTTGGACAAACACATTTATAAATCTTATCGGAATGGCTAATAATACAAGAGA